GAAGAAGAAGAAGAAGAAGAAGAAGAAGAAGAAGAAGAAGAAGAAGAAGAAGAAGAAGAAGAAGAAGAAGAAGAAGAAGAAGAAGAAGAAAAGAAAGCTTGGCATCAAAGGAAAACCCACAATATTTGTTTTGGTGAAAAGAAAGTGGCACTTTTTCTAGACATAGCTAGATAGAAAGCTAAATCAATATAGCAAGAACCTACTTGACAGTCAGTGTGGCATATATAAAGGGTAAGCAAGAAAGCTGAGCACTGTTACATAGGTTTATAACCTCAGGTATTTGGGAGGATGGAAAGAGAGAGGACAGAGCAGGGAAGAAGAGGGTGAGAGGAAGGGGGAGAGACCAAGACCAACTGATGTAGTCTGAACTTCTGGATGCTACTAAGCCTGAAGACATTATTTTAGAATTTTTAATTGTGTGAGCAAACACATTATATTACTTTTTTTTTTTTTTTTGGCAGAACCGGGGATTGAACTCAGGCCCTTGTGCTTTCCAGGGAAGTGCTTATTCCACTGAGCCATCTCCCCGGCCTATATTTCTTTATTAAATAAAATTTGGCTATTTCCTATAACTATCCATACAAATATATATGAAGAAAAGTGTAACTGATAGCAAAGTCATTCAGAGATAATTTCATTAACTTTGGTTATTATCTACTTAAATAGCACTATCCTGGTAATTTTTATTATTTCATGAAACACAAATTGTGAAAGACTGTCACTGAAGTGTAAAAAAAGCACTATTAGCAATAAATAAGGTGAAATCATTCTCACGGTCAAAAAGACATCAGTATTTCTTAAATTTGTTTGTGGTATCATTTAAGCTTTCATTCAAAATAAACCAACAGAATCACAGGCAAAGAAAACTGAATTCACTGTAAAATATTTAGCCCAGGCTGTGACAATTTACCTGAAGCTACCCAGACACGGGATTGACTCTTGATGATTTATTTACTAAATTGTCCCTTTTATAAATTCATTATTGAAATCCTGACCTCTGATGTGCCTGTGATTAGAATAAAATTACCAAGATAATCAAGGTTAAAGATTATAAGCACAAAGCCCTAATTCAGTGGGTCTGACTGTGTCCTTAGACAAAGAGTGCACTAGGAGTTTGGCACAGGTCCCGATGGAAAGGCAACTAGCTGTAAGCCAAAGACAGAGGCCTCAGAGAAATCGTCCTGTTGGCATCTTGATCTTGGACTTTCCATCTTCAGATATGCGAGACAATGAATTTCTTTCTTTCTTTTTTTTTTTTTTTTTGCAGTTATTTAATCTGAGTTAGTGTAAACAATTGAATAATTTTTTCCACTTTTGTTTTTGAGTGTTCACAAGTAAAACAACAGACTCCTAGCCCAGGTCTGGTGAGTGTGCGGAGAGCTTCCTGCTACCCTGCGCCTGCGGGACCAGTCCCAGCCAAGGCGCAGACTGGGCTGGACCCTCTCCCAGCCCATTGGGCCGCCCCCCACCACTCCGCAGTGCCTCTCCCACCCCGCCCACCGAGTAGGAATTTTTGCCTCATCCCGGAGCCCCTAGACCCAGTCCTAGCCCAGGTCCTGTGAGTGTGTGCGGAGAGCTTCCTCTTCCTCCTACTTCACCTTGCCCCTCCAGGCACAGCTCAGGCCTGACATACACACCTGAGGTGTAATCCTGCAGCTGCAATCCCTGCAGGGGAGAGTGTAGAGGATAGATCGAACCAGCTATTCCAGGAGCAGAACATCTCGCCACAGGGGCACAACAGGTTCACCCTTAAGGGCAGCAGCGGG